ATTTGATGGAAATACTTGTGTATATTTAATGACCCAATTGCTCCTCTGGAGCTTGTACGTTCAAGAATGATTAATCTGTGTAATAAACTGATTACTACAGTCATTACATATAACTTTGTGTGAATAGGCTTTTGATTTTAAGAATTTTGTCTAGCTCAGATTAGTGGTGGATTTTCCCCCACACCTGAAATACTTTAATTTATATTGGTTGCATTTTAAAATCATGAAACAATTCCAGTTTACATAGTAAAAAGAATATCTTGAGAGTATTTTACTGAACAGGAAGGGACATAAGCTGAAAACATTTCCATAAAACTTAGATGTGCAGCATTCCAGGAACATGACTGTTAAACTAAATAAGAAATTTGCTTTATTAATGAAACTCAGCTGCATTTCACCAAAACCTTGTGTTCCCTTGGTACATAGGATGTAGAACACAAAGGCATTGCTGTTTGGTAAGTTAAGCCTCTGTGATTGTAATTGTGAAAGAGCAACATTGACCAAACCTGGGAAACATGAGCACAATCTTGTATTGGAGAGTCTACATGATTACTTTGCACTAACATTTACAGGATGTTCATCCAATTTTAAATTGTACTGTATGTGGCTTTTTTGAAGTCTTCCCTTGACTCTAGTAAAATGTAGTTTGAAACTTGTAAACAACTGTGTTTGCCAGAAGCATTGTTATGTGAACTAGGCAAGTTACCTTTTTTTCCCCTTCCTTCTCCTAATCTAATTGTAAACCAGGCCAGCCTGAAGATCATGGCTGATGCTCTTTAGCCATCAGGTTCTTTCAAATGCATCTTTACACTCTTGCACAAAAATTGAGGAATAAATGTCCACTGCTTTTGGTTTTAAACTTGTTCAGTATGTCTCATCTCTCAGTGTCACTGCTCTTTCATCTCAAGGCTAAATTGGTATAACCTGAAACTTCATGACGTGCTGCTGCTGTTGACTTGGAACTGATTCAGCTGACCCCTTCAGTGGGTTTTCAAACGCTGTAAATGACAGAGAAGATTGTCCATCTTCCTATCTTGGAGCACCTAATGGATTTGAACCACGTGCCTTTGGGTTCGCAGAATAATTCCTTACCACTAGGCTACCAGAACTCCCTATGTGCTAGTTGTTATTTATTAGCATTTTCACCATCCTTAACTTTAAAGAAAAAGTTTTGTTAATAGGGAAAGAAGTTAAAGTTGAACTCTAACCTAAAATCACCCTGTGTTTTCAGTATCATGAGCAGATAGGAGTCTCCTAATTGGGGGCTTGCTATGCTGTCATATTGCTCCTATATTTTGCACAGATCCTAAAAGGCCATTCTTTGCCTCTCCTTTTTGAGAGCAGCCAGCTTACTACCAGTTATATCATAATTTTTTTTAATATTAATATTTTTACAGTTGTGCTCTTAAGTTTGTTGTGTTGTTTTGTTGGGCTTTTTAAATTAAGTGCTTAAAAAATCTATCACCCTGGTACACAAGGGCCAAGTGAAGGAGTTTGAATGGTCACAAATAACATCTTCAATTTATATAGGAGTATGTTTGGCTTAGTCTTTATACATATGCATATGCAATATGAGAGCTTGGTAACAGAGGCTATCTTGCTAATCAGAACACAATCCTGTCACAAGGTAATTCTTACCTGGGTTCACATTGCTTTTTACAGAAATTTTGTTAGCTTTGTCTCATGTTTTAAAAAGCTGGTCTACAGCAACCTTGATTGTTTTGATGAGACTGTGGTTACAAGAGAATCCCAAGTATTTGAGTTCTTTTCCTTTTCTCCTCTCCCTCCTCCGTTACATCTTAATAGCATGGAATACTCTCTCAGTTTATAATTGGAGCAGTGTCTTTTGGTAAAATGAAATTATTTCCTATACACATGCTCTGGCCAGTGGTCAGAATTGCATTATCCTGCAAGTTTGGTTTCTGTGTTTATCTCTACCCTGCCCTACCTCACCAGCCCACCCTTGCAAGTCTTCCACTAACCAAAATACAGAAACAGATGAGAAGGTCATGGTGACATAGAGGGAAACCCATGTTCTTTAACCTAGCAATAGAGGTAATCCCTTTTTTACTTCTGACTCCTACAGTATTACAGTTTTGAATCATTACTCTATGTCTAGCACATAAGTCTCAAATTTAAAGTTGGGTTTTTTAAAGTCATTTTTTTCCTTAGTTTTTTTTTAATACCTTCACCCTATTGTCCAAATATTTCCAACTCATAGTAACCCTATATCAGGTTTCAAAGGGTATACCTCTTAATAAGAAGGCACTTACCCATCTTTCTCCTGAGAAGTCATTGGTGGATTTAAACCACAGACCTTCTGATTAGCCATACTATAGACCATACCACCAGAGCTCCATTTAATACCCATCAGATAGGTTTTAATAGAGTGCGTACAGTGTTACACAAAAGATTTTAATAAGAGTGTGAAGATAAACTTGTTGGGTTGTCCTGTTAAGATGAGAAGACTTTGCTGGGGGACAGGGCTAGCTAGCACTTGTAGAACTTGTTCCCTAGTTTTTCTTATATTATGTGTGTGTTTTAGTTAGCCAAGGCTAGTATAAGCAGTTGGTATTTAGGCCTCTCTGAATATTTGCAGATAAAGTCTAAAGATGGTTTTAGAAATAGGAAAACTGGCCAGAGTTTTATTCTGATGTTATGAAAATACAGGGTAATGGTTAGCATAGTTTAATTTTATAAAACACTGTATGAAAATGTTTGTATGGCAATGATGGAAAGGGGGGTGGTGTGCATTTTAAAAAATCGTGAGATAAACACTTTCCTCTGTTGTTGTTATGCATTACCTTAGGCAATGCAAGTGGGAAAGCTTGAAGATTGGGAATGACCAAAGACTCAAGATCTTTGGCCTTGCCCCTTTTCAGTGACTGCTCCTGAGAGAGGTTGATCAGCTAGACATTTTTATGATTAGTATTTTTAAGTATTTGTGTGGCTGCATGTGATCAGAGTGTAATTTCTCCTAGCAGATGTAAAACTAAGTAAGCACCCAGTGACAGGACAGCAGCTTGTTTTCAATTATAAAATGTTATGGCTTGCCAGAACTTTTCCACGACTGAGCAATCTGATAACCCCAGTGTATACTCTGAAACCAGTAGTTTTCAACTCTGGAAAAACAATCATTGAGTACTCAGACCAGGCCTCCATTACATGCCCTACAGAGAAGAATAGCCACCAGATATGGTGAATATTCCTTTTCAAAAATTCCTAAGAGTTTTAGGAATGACAGCTGCCATTTTCCAAGACACCCCTCTCCTTGCCCTAAGATGTTTGATCACAAGAGTTTTCCTGCTTGAGCTTTCTCCTATTTAAAAGTCTTAAATCTTAAAAGAACTTTCTCCCCCTTCACTTGTAGGGCTGTTTGAGAACATGAATGGATAGGGATCCGGGTTTGTGTTTGAGTCATCTCACCCAAATTACCAACTTTCCCAGGTTTGGAATTATCCATAGAAAGAGGTAGCTGGCATAACCCCTAGGGTGGATGGGTGGGTGTGTACACACTGATAATAGGTGCCTGGAGTTTCACCCAACTAAGAGACAATATTGTTTAAGTCATTGTCCTGTGCTGTCAAGTCACAACCAACTTCTAACTAGCCCTTCAGAGGACTTTCAGAGGCTGTAAACTGCGTGGAGAGAGATTGCTGGTCTTTCTCCCAAGGAGTTCCCTGATAGCCTATTGAGTAAGGAGTATACAGCCAGCTCAAATGAAGGCTGTTCAAATCCACGAGTTGCTCCTCATGTCCAATTTACAGTTTCTGAAAATCTGCTGAAGAGTCAGCGGTGACTTGGTTGCAACTCGATGTCACATAACAACATTGATTAGGCCCTTATGGTCAGTCCTTCCTCCAGCAGCATTGCTATCATCTTTAAGGATGTGATTATCTGCAAGGTAATACACTAAGAGTTGGGGGCAGCTGGCCTTAATCCAGAAGGGCACCCTAAAGTGCCAGTGACCTACAACATAGTGACAGAATGAACCAGAAGAGCCTTAGCATTCTCTAAACTCCCAGCAAGTTAAACATTTTGTAAGGATATCTCCAGGTTATTAAGACATCTAGCTTTCCTTTGAAGAAGGTAAGAGTGCATAAGAGAAGATAGGAAATGTTCTCTCTAATTAGAAAAGGCACACTACCTTTTGAAGTTCTAGATTTACATGTTGGGGAAGGGGCAAACAACCTTTGTGATTTCTCCACTAACATGTCCTGGAATAATCCTGCTCTGCCTGGCCCTTCCCACCCAAGGGTGGCTCAGGTGCGAGATGGACTTGGGTTTCTATATACAAAGATGGATGCC